ATCATCTAATCATCTATCTATCTATCTACCTGTCTATCTACCTGTCTATCTATCCGTCTGTCTGTCTGTCTATCATCTATCTATCTATCTATCTATCTATCTATCTATCTATCTATCTATCTATCTATCTATCTATCTATCTATCTATCTGTCTGTCTATCTGTCTGTCTGTCTGTCTGTCCGTCTGTCCATCATCTATCTATCTATCTACCTGTCTATCTACCTGTCTATCTATCCGTCTGTCTGTCTGTCTATCATCTATCTATCTATCTATCTATCTATCTATCTATCTATCTATCTATCTATCTATCTATCTATCTATCTGTCTATCTATCTGTCTGTCTGTCTGTCTGTCTGTCTGTCTTTCTTTCTGTCTATACTATTTATCTATCAACTTTATATATACAGCTGTGTGATTAATAGTTTACATTTACATTTATACATGTATTTATTATGTATGTTGTATATTATTTAAATTTTTACTGTACTCATAGAAACGTGTAGGGGAATCTTTTGATTTGGGCCAGTAATAAATCACCTAGCAACCACCCAGAACATTCTAGAAATTCATAGCAACACCTTGGCAACTGTGGCAGTGAGTTTTGCGAGGCAAAATCTAGTTTTCTGTCTTCTGTCCCACAGATTCTATTAGTAAAATATGGTTTCATACTCTGGTCAATATCATGACATGTGCTTTCTGAAATTTAAGACATGTTTTCTTTTCCTGTGACGTCTACATCTCAGTGGAATCAGACTGGAGTGTGAGACTGTAGCAGGGGTCAGGAGTTCTTGAGGCCTGCTCTTTCCCAATGGATTCAGATTGTTTTAATAGTATGTAGTGGAGAGAGAGTGGGAGACTGAATGCCAGGGGTCTTCAGGAAGCAGTGGGTGGAAGAATAAGACATGAACTCCAGTGCCAAAATGTTTGCCTCATCAAATGAAAACCAGTCTGGCTGTTGTGTCAGTATTTTGACAGTAACGTAAGCGAGTGAATTCAGCGCAATCAAATATCTGTCTGTCCATCTGAGAATGTGTTAACAGCCCTTCTGACAACTTTACCATAGAAACCACAGTAATGGTTTCTGTAGGAGTCATTCTGTTTGGACCATGCAGGGCATGTCGTCATATGCGGAAGAAGTCACAAGAGCTTGCATGTACCAGTATGTTTTGAGTCAAAAACAGATACCTAAAGTTTACTTAAAGCTCAAATACTTAATACACACTGCTAGTCACAAGTTTGAAATAATAAAAAAAAAATTCTAAGCTCGCTAAGGCTGTTAATTTGATCAAAATACATCAAAAAATGGGAAATATTATTAAAATAAAAAAACTGTTTTCTATGTGAATATATATTTAAATGTAATTTATTCCTGTGATCAAAGCTGAATTTTCAACATCATTACTCCAGTCTTCAGTGTCACATGATCTTTCAGAAATCATGCTAATATGCTGATTTTCCGCTCAATTATTATCAAATATCAGCAGTGGTTTTTATGATTATCAGTGTTGAAAATGTTTTTGCTGCTTAATATTTTTGTGGTAACAGTGATTCTTTTTATTTCAAGATTATTTGATGAATAAAAAGTTCAATAAAAAGCATTTATCTATTTGAAATAGAAATCTTTTGTAACATAAATGTTTTATTGTCACATTTGATCACTTTGCGTCAGAATAAATTACATTTCAAAATATATTTTTAATCAAATTAATGCAGCCTTGCTGAGCATTAAAGATTTCTTTCAAAAAACTTAAAACATCTTTTATCAAACTTTTGATTGCTAGTGCATGCCTTTGATTAGTTGATTGATTCCAAATTCTAAAAGAATGGTTAAGAATGTTTTTTTTTTTCATTTCTGCTGTTTCATGAATTGTTTTGTGCTTTGTAATTATTTTATTGCTTAAGGTTGTTCAGTGGTGGTTCCCATTGTACCAGACTTGTGACAAAATGTCAGTGTGTGTTCAATGAACTTCATCTTTTTTTTCCTGAGCAATATGGTGAAAATAGCTTGTTTGTAGTCAAAGCTTTAAGGTTTGTGTCTGTGTAGAATTTGACTTTCAAAAATAAACCCACCTGTAGTGATAACAGAGAGAATTAGCCCCGACCTCCCCTATATAGTGAGCAAAAACAGGATTGTCAATGTTCAGACATTGAATATGTTTTGTCTTCCTGATCACACACACAGACATGACCATACATGCCTGACACAGATTTTTTCACCGTGATATTGTGACTCATGTCATTGTCTATGAGATGTTTCTGAGTCAAGATGTGGGCCTGAACGAGAACCAACAATCTCATTCTCATGTCCAGCGTGACTGCATCCACAACCTCACTGTAAAAGCACTGTAAAAAGTTATGTGGCTCTTAAATGGTAATGAAACCCCTCACCAGCGTGACCATATAAGGATGGGTTTCCTCTTCCCCTCGGCCTGGAAAGCACAATGATGGGGGTCAATAGAAATGAATATCAGCCGTCTAGTTCGCTCTCTCTCTCTGTCATGGCTCATGCTCTACTGGACATATACAATTATAGAGGAGAGGAATGTGAAGTGGAGCAAATAATGAGCTGAGACTTTGTACATCGCAGCTTTTGTAATAAACAGGGCTTTTTAAAGGCAGTTCGACCAAAAAGAACATTGTTTCAGTTAGTTTATTTACTCTCATGTTTTTCCAAACCAGTATTATGTTATTTTTCCATGAAGCACAAAATGAGAATTATTGAAGAATCTTTGCGCAGCTCTTTGCCACATCGTGACGGATCATAATGACCATGTCCATTAAAAATAACACCATGAAAATAGTCAATCAGTCATTATTCACTGAAAATTTTCATTATTGAAATGAAACTATTTTTCATTCATACTTCATACGTTCATAAGTTCATACTTTCTTCTGCACTGAAAGCTCCTGTCGCTAAGTCAAATTCCTTGTGTATGTAAACATACTTGGCAATAAAGATCTTTCTGACTTTCTGAAAATGTTTCATCTGTTGCAAATCTCATTTTCCATTCTGCATATTTAAACACAGAAAAATTGAAGAAAAAAAGACAGAATTTACTTTAAAACAGTTTCACTGAAAGTTTTCAATGAAAAAAAAATCATTATTCTACATTGTAAAAGTTCGTTTTGGAATTGTATATATAAACACTGTATATGTAAAAAAATGTATAAACAATTCACTCAAAAATTGCTAGTAAATTTCAGAAATAGTTAAC